TTACATACGTCACAGTAAACTCAGATCCAATGGTTTCAATCTGCAAAAGGAGTTAGCCCCTCCCACCTGTTCACGGAGTCTATGGAGCAGATCCAGACCTTAGTATGAAATGAAATGAGTACCGTGGTGTTGTGGAATGTGAACAGTTGTGAGCGTTGGGAGTTTGACAGCTCTTATCGTCCGAGTGAAAGCAGCTGTTTCTAACGTGGCGTTTGCCGCCGTCAGCAGCATTCATTCACAGAACACAGGCCGTTTTGTTTTCGCTCCAGTCAGGGGTTTCCATTGTCCCAGGCAGACCGAGGCAGGCCAATGGGACTGGAGAGAGTCATCTGTTGTTGTGGTATGTCACTTGTTGACCTTAAGACTTAAATATAACAGTAACGTTTGTAAAGGTTTGGTTTCGTGTGTTGTTGAGGAACTATAAAGAGGAGGGGCCTAACTTATAATGTTGTAAACAGTTGGATGGCGTTAAAATCAGGTGACCGAGCTTTAAACCGGGACACACCCTGGAGAGTATTGCTCACCACTGGGTACAGTAGCGACGTCTTAGTCACGGTTCAGTTTTTACACCATCGTTTCTGTGTAAAAAACACAGAAAGATTCAAGATTTTTTTTTCCATTTGCAGTAAAACCACATTGGAAAAACTGTGCGAGACTTACCCCAGTGTGCAGCAGACAGAGAAGACGGCACACACCAGAGCTCTTGCCACAACATTTTTCAATTTTCTGTGCTTTGAAAGTCAGGTACCTCAGCTTTAAACGCCATCAAAACATTTACAGAAATAGATCAAAAATAGAAATTGATTAAATTAATAAAAACATAGATACAAAATGTTGCAAACCACATAAAAATAAATAAATTAAATAAATATAAACTATTTCGAAACTGTCAAATCCATCTACCCGGAGTGCTCTGGTTTCCTCCAGGTGCTACGGTTTTTCCTACCACTAAATACAAGTACAATATGTCTGAGGCTTTGTGCTCTCAGCCAATCAGCTCTCAGCCAATCAGCTCTCAGCCTATCAGCTCTCAGCCAGTCAGCTCTCAGCCAATCAGCTCTCAGCCAATCAGCTCTCAGCCTATCAGCTCTCAGCCTATCAGCTCTCAGCCAGTCAGCTCTCAGCCAGTCAGCTCTCAGCCAATCAGCTCTCAGCCTATCAGCTCTCAGCAAGTCAGCTCTCAGCCAGTCAGCTCTCAGCCAATCAGCTCTCAGCCAATCAGCTCGCAGCCAGTCAGCTCTCAGCCAATCAGCTCTCAGCACAAATCAAATCACAGGAAGTATGAAAAGATTCAGGTTGTGATCTGAATAGTTTTGCAAAACGTTCTACTTTTACAAGAATCAACAACAAATCAAACAGTATTATTTAAGCGCGTGAAAGTTACGTACCCCAGCTTTAGGAACACATGTTACTATAGTCCAGGGCTGAGTACGTCAGAACACAACTGTCAGAAACAGGTGCAATACTGAGACAGAACTGAGAAAAATCTATTTATTTGGACATGGATCAGCACGGGACTGTTTGGGGAAAAGGTCTGGTCTCGCTAAAACTGAAATAATAAATAATAATAATAAATTAAACTTGTATAGCGCTTTTTTCTGGACAGTCAGAGACGCTTCACATGGAGTTTAGAATAAAATAAGTTTACGGAGTTTACGGAGAAGCTAATATTTTGGTGTCTTACAATTGCTGCACACAGGTCAATGTTCCCCGCCACAGATGATTAAAGTAGAAGAAAAATACATATATTAGGGTCGAAAATTGTATAAATGACTGGTATAATGAAAATTCAGATCAAAAATGTTTTATTTATGGTATATTTGAATCACTGTGGCGGGTAAATGTGACCCAAAATAACAACAAAGGGCCAAAAATGCGTGGGTAGTAATCAAAAGCAATTACCAAGACTTCAGAAAAACTCGACGTCAAAATTATTGGCAAAATTACTGGAATATGAAAAGGTTTTGTAGAGAGAGAGAGAGACCAGAGAGAGAGACCAGAGAGAGAGACCAGAGAGAGAGACCAGAGAGAGAGACCAGAGAGAGAGAGACCAGAGAGAGAGACCAGAGAGAGACCAGAGAGAGGCCAGAGAGAGGCCAGAGAGAGACCAGAGAGAGACCAGAGAGAGACCAGAGAGAGACCAGAGAGAGAGACCAGAGAGAGAGACCAGAGAGAGACCAGAGAGAGAGACCAGAGAGAGAGACCAGAGAGAGACCAGAGAGAGAGACCAGAGAGAGAGACCAGAGAGAGAGACCAGAGAGAGACCAGAGAGAGAGACCAGAGAGAGACCAGAGAGAGACCAGAGAGAGGCCAGAGAGAGGCCAGAGAGAGACCAGAGAGAGACCAGAGAGAGACCAGAGAGAGAGACCAGAGAGAGAGACCAGAGAGAGAGACCAGAGAGAGACCAGAGAGAGAGACCAGAGAGAGAGACCAGAGAGAGGCCAGAGAGAGGCCAGAGAGAGGCCAGAGAGAGACCAGAGAGAGACCAGAGAGAGACCAGAGAGAGAGACCAGAGAGAGACCAGAGAGAGAGACCAGAGAGAGAGACCAGAGAGAGACCAGAGAGAGACCAGAGAGAGACCAGAGAGAGACCAGAGAGAGACCAGAGAGAGACCAGAGAGAGACCAGAGAGACACCAGAGAGACACCAGAGAGACACCAGAGAGAGACCAGAGAGAGACCAGAGAGACACCAGAGAGACACCAGAGAGAGACCAGAGAGAGACCAGAGAGAGACCAGAGAGAGACCAGAGAGAGACCAGAGAGAGACCAGAAAGAGACCAGAAAGAGACCAGAAAGAGACCAGAAAGAGACCAGAAAGAGACCAGAGAGAGACCAGAGAGAGACCAGAGAGAGACCAGAGAGAGACCAGAGAGAGAGACCAGAGAGAGACCAGAGAGAGACCAGAGAGAGACCAGAGAGAGACCAGAGAGAGACCAGAGAGAGACCAGAGAGACACCAGAGAGACACCAGAGAGAGACCAGAGAGAGACCAGAGAGAGACCAGAGAGACACCAGAGAGAGACCAGAGAGAGACCAGAGAGAGACCAGAGAGAGACCAGAGAGAGACCAGAGAGAGACCAGAGAGAGACCAGAGAGAGACCAGAGAGAGACCAGAGAGACACCAGAGAGAGACCAGAGAGAGACCAGAGAGAGACCAGAGAGAGACCAGAGAGAGACCAGAGAGAGACCAGAGAGAGACCAGAGAGAGACCAGAGAGAGACCAGAGAGAGACCAGAGAGAGACCAGAGAGACACCAGAGAGACACCAGAGAGAGACCAGAGAGAGACCAGAGAGAGACCAGAGAGAGACCAGAGAGACACCAGAGAGACACCAGAGAGAGACCAGAGAGAGACCAGAGAGAGACCAGAGAGAGACCAGAGAGAGACACGAGAGAGACCAGAGAGAGACCAGAGAGAGACCAGAGAGAGACCAGAAAGAGACCAGAAAGAGACCAGAAAGAGACCAGAAAGAGACCAGAGAGAGACCAGAGAGAGACCAGAGAGAGACCAGAGAGAGACCAGAGAGAGAGGGACCAGAGAGAGACCAGAGAGAGACCAGAGAGAGAGACCAGAGAGAGAGACCAGAGAGAGAGACCAGAGAGAGACCAGAGAGAGAGGGACCAGAGAGAGAGAGATCAGAGAGAGAGACCAGAGCGAGACCAGAAAGAGACCAGAAAGAGACCAGAGAGAGACCAGAAAGAGACCAGAAAGAGACCAGAAAGAGACCAGAGAAAGACCAGAGAGAGAGACCAGAGAGAGACGAGAGAGAGACGAGAGAGAGACCAGAGAGAGACCAGAGAGAGACCAGAGAGAGACCAGAGAGAGACCAGAGAGAGACCAGAGAGAGACCAGAGAGAGACCAGAGAGAGACCAGAGAGAGACCAGAGAGAGACCAGAAAGAGACCAGAAAGAGACCAGAGAGAGACCAGAGAGAGACCAGAGAGAGACCAGAGAGAGAGGGACCAGAGAGAGACCAGAGAGAGACCAGAGAGAGAGACCAGAGAGAGAGACCAGAGAGAGACCAGAGAGAGAGGGACCAGAGAGAGAGAGATCAGAGAGAGAGACCAGAGCGAGACCAGAAAGAGACCAGAAAGAGACCAGAGAGAGACCAGAAAGAGACCAGAAAGAGACCAGAAAGAGACCAGAGAAAGACCAGAGAGAGAGACCAGAGAGAGACGAGAGAGAGACCAGAGAGAGACCAGAGAGAGAGGGACCAGAGAGAGACCAGAGAGAGACCAGAGAGAGGCCAGAGAGAGACCAGAGAGAGACCAGAGAGAGACCAGAGAGAGAGGGACCAGAGAGAGACCAGAGAGAGACCAGAGAGAGACCAGAGAGAGAGGCCAGAGAGAGACCAGAGAGAGACCAGAGAGAGACCAGAGAGAGAGGGACCAGAGAGAGACCAGAGAGAGACCAGAGAGAGAGACCAGAGAGAGAGACCAGAGAGAGAGACCAGAGAGAGACCAGAGAGAGAGGGACCAGAGAGACCAGAGCGAGACCAGAAAGAGACCAGAAAGAGACCAGAGAGAGACCAGAGAGAGACCAGAAAGAGACCAGAAAGAGACCAGAGAAAGACCAGAGAGAGAGACCAGAGAGAGACGAGAGAGAGACGAGAGAGAGACCAGAGAGAGACGAGAGAGAGACCAGAGAGAGACCAGGGAGAGAGACCAGAGAGAGACCAGAGAGAGACCAGAGAGAGAGACCAGAGAGAGACCAGAGAGAGAGACCAGAGAGAGAGACCAGAGAGAGACCAGAGAGAGAGAGAGAGAGACCAGAGAGAGAGAGAGAGAGAGACCAGAGAGAGAGGGACCAGAGAGAGAGAGACCAGAGAGAGAGACCAGAGAGAGGGACCAGAGAGAGACCAGAGAGAGAGAGACCAGAGAGAGAGACCAGAGAGAGGGACCAGAGAGAGGGACCAGAGATAGATTATCCTTATGTTCCTAAAAAAGACATGGACAGTTTTTATTGGACATTCTCTTCTAACATTTCATATAAACTTCGTCAGAGTCTGTCGTCAGAGTCTGTCGTCAGAGTCTGTCGTCAGAGTCTGTCGTCAGAGTCTGTCGTCAGAGTCTGTCGTCAGAGTCTGTCGTCAGAGTCTGTCGTCAGAGTCTGTCGTCAGAGTGTGGACTTTACAGACGTTATAAAAACAGCAGAAACACGTGTGAGGTCCTCGTCCAGGAGTCGGGAGACACAGGAGACTGGACAGGGCCGATGGCACGGACCACTGGCCTCTCTTCAGCTGTGCCTCAGGGCAGCTGTGCCTCAGGGCAGCTGTGCCTCAGGGCAGCTGTGCCCCAGGGCGGCTGTGCCTCAGGGCAGCTGTTCCCCAGGGCAGCTGTGCCCCAGGGCGGCTGTGCCCCAGGGCGGCTGTGCCTCAGGGCAGCTGTTCCCCAGGGCGGCTGTGCCTCAGGGCAGCTGTGCCCCAGGGCGGCTGTGCCTCAGGGCAGCTGTTCCCCAGGGCAGCTGTGCCCCAGGGCGGCTGTGCCCCAGGGCGGCTGTGCCTCAGGGCAGCTGTGCCTCAGGGCAGCTGTGCCCCAGGGCAGCTGTGCCTCAGGGCAGCTGTGCCCCAGGGCAGCTGTGCCCCAGGGCGGCTGTGCCTCAGGGCAGCTGTTCCCCAGGGCAGCTGTTCCCCAGGGCAGCTGTGCCCCAGGGCGGCTGTGCCCCAGGGCGGCTGTGCCTCAGGGCGGCTGTGCCTCAGGGCGGCTGTTCCCCAGGGCAGCTGTGCCCCAGGGCAGCTGTGCCCCAGGGCGGCACCATTTTTTTGAAAGTTATCATTTTTCTTGAAATGGTTTTGATCCTGAGATTCTCCTGTTTATAAACTACAGAATTATTAGGTACAAACCGTTTTGGTTCGTACTTTTGTTATTTCCGCTTGAAGTAAGATCTGACACATTGTAGAGTTTAGTTTGGAGTGATCTGGAGAACACACACACCATGGAACAGGAAGTAAAACCAACAAGAAACGCAGGAAAACAGAGAGTACAAAATAAAACAGAAACTAAAGAATGACAGACTCTCTACAGACCGTCCATGCTTCCAACGTGACTTTAAAGAGTCAATATTCCCTCAGAGACCGAGAGAGACAGAGAGACAGAGAGACAGAGACAGAGAGACAGAGACAGAGAGACAGAGAGACAGAGACAGAGACACAGAGGCAGGGAAACACGGAGACAGAGACAGTGTCAGAGGCTTGAAGTATCCCAGGCCTTTAGCTTCATTCCTGATCTTTATGAGGCTTGTATGATATTTTTATGCTTTTAGGATGTTCTTATGTTCTGCTGGAGGTGTTTTAGGATGTTCTTATGTTCGGCTGGAGGTGTTTTGGTTTTAGGATGTTCTTATGTTCTGCTGGAGGTGTTTTGGTTTTAGGATGTTCTTATGTTCTGCTGGAGGTGTTTTGGTTTTAGGATGTTCTTATGTTCTGCTGGAGGTGTTTTAGGGTGTTCTTATGTTCTGCTGGAGGTGTTTTGGTTTTAGGATGTTCTTATGTTCTGCTGGAGGTGTTTTAGGGTGTTCTTATGTTCTGCTGGAGGTGTTTTGGTTTTAGGATGTTCTTATGTTCTGCTGGAGGTGTTTTAGGGTGTTCTTATGTTCTGCTGGAGGTGTTTTGGTTTTAGGATGTTCTTATGTTCTGCTGGAGGTGTTTTAGGATGTTCTTATGTTCTGCTGGAGGTGTTTTGGTGCTTTTAGGATGTTCTTATGTTCGGCTGGAGGTGTTTTGGTTTTAGGATGTTCTTATGTTCTGCTGGAGGTGTTTTGGTTTTAGGATGTTCTTATGTTCTGCTGGAGGTGTTTTGGTTTTAGGATGTTCTTATGTTCTGCTGGAGGTGTTTTAGGGTGTTCTTATGTTCTGCTGGAGGTGTTTTGGTTTTAGGATGTTCTTATGTTCTGCTGGAGGTGTTTTGGTGCTTTTAGGATGTTCTTATGTTCTGCTGGAGGTGTTTTAGGGTGTTCTTATGTTCTGCTGGAGGTGTTTTAGGATGTTCTTATGTTCTGCTGGAGGTGTTTTGGTGCTTTTAGGATGTTCTTATGTTCGGCTGGAGGTGTTTTGGTTTTAGGATGTTCTTATGTTCTGCTGGAGGTGTTTTGGTGAAGGCCACAGTAATGCATCCTTAAGGCCAGGACAGCCCTGCGTAAGACCGGGTCCGGAGGCTGGGCTTTAAACTATGAATAGACCTGAAAAGAGAGAGAGAGGGACCGAGCTCTAAAACCACAGGTTACCGGACCACTGTCAGAACGAACCAGGACCAGACCAAGTCCAAGACCGATCGAAGGTAAAGCTTAAATCTTCACTCCTGACCCGAACATTACTCCTGTTCATCTAAACTATGTTTTTTTGCTGGAGAAAGAATCTATTCCATTTATTTGCGTATCGCCCTAAATCACAACAGTTTCTCTGAGGACTTTATAAAGATGTCGATTCTCCAACTCAGATCAGAAAATCAGCTCAAACACAAGAAACGGTTCTGTCTCTGGATTTAGTTTTTGAGCTCGTTTAAAACTATTGTGAGGAAAACCATCTGCAGCGATGGACCAAGACTGAAGCTAACGTGGCTCATGGTTTAGTATGGTTTAGTTTGGTATGGTTTGGTTTGGTATGGTTTAGTATGGTTTAGTTTGGTATGGTTTGGTTTGGTATGGTTTAGTTTGGTATGGTTTGGTTTGGTATGGTTTAGTATGGTTTGGTATGGTTTGGTATGGTTTGGTATGGTTTGGTATGGTTTAGTATGGTTCGGTATGGTTAGTATGGTTTGGTATGGTTTAGTATGGTTAATATGGTTTAGTATGGTTAATATGGTTTAGTATGGTTTGGTATGGTTTAGTATGGTTTAGTATGGTTTGGTATGGTTTAGTTTGGTTTGGTATGGTTTAGCATAGTTTAGTATGGTTTAGTATAGTTTAGTATGGTTTAGTATGGTTTGGTATGGTTTAGTTTGGTTCGGTATGGTTTATCATAGTTTAGTATGGTTTAGTATAGTTTAGTATGGTTTGGTATGGTTTAGTTTGGTTTGGTATGGTTTAGCATAGTTTAGTATGGTTTAGTATGGTTTAGTATGGTTTAGCATAGTTTAGTATGGTTTAGTATAGTTTAGTATGGTTTAGTAAGGTTTAGTATAGTTTAGTATGGATTAGTATGGTTTAGTATAGTTTAGTATGGTTTAGCATAGTTTAGTATAGTTTAGTATGGTTTAGTATAGTTTAGTATGGTTTAGTAAGGTTTAGTATGGTTTAGCATAGTTTAGTATGGTTTAGTATAGTTTAGTATGGTTGAGTATAGTTTAGTATGGTTTAGCATAGTTTAGTATGGTTTAGTATAGTTTAGTATGGTTTAGTATGGTTAAGTATGGTTTAGTAATGAATGCATCTTTAAATTCAGGCTGTGAAAAGCACAATCTTGATGTTTGTGGAATTATAGCCCATCTCAAAGTTGCCTTTTTTTCTAAGGTTTTGGAAAAGGTTGTTCTCTCTACAGGACCATCTTGATACTTATAGCATCACTGAGAAGTTTCAGTCAGGTTTCAAAGCCAAGCTTAAACCGAGACTGCTCTTCTTAGAGTTCTTCATGATCTTTATTTGTCTCAGAGTTATCAGCGTTCGATACGGGGCACGCCTCGAGCAACAAGTGGGCATCACAGGAACTGCACTTAAATGGTTTCAGTCCTATCTGACTGAGAGAACCTGTTCTGTCCAATTGGGCCAGTTCTCTCAAGCGTCCAATTTAAAGTGTGGAGTGCCCCAAGGCAGTATTTGGGCCCTACCTTTTTGGTCTGTACATGCTTCCCTTAGGAGCTCTATTTGAGAAGCATAATGTATCTTTCCATTGCTATGAAGACGTGCAGATATATCTGCCCATTCAGACCAGCAGCTGTGGACAGACACTTGTTGATTGTTTGAAGGAAGTTCAAGAATGGATGCAAGAAAACGTTCTTAGTTTAAACAAAGGGAAAACAGAAATACTTACCTTTGGGACTTCTGACCCTCTCCTGAACTGGAGAGGGTCTATAGGTGCTATAGGACCTCCTATGGTTTATGAAAAGCCCTACGCCAGGAATCTGGGATTTACTATCAACAGACATTTTACATTTGATAAGCAGATAAATACTGTTCTTAAAACAAGTTTTTATCATCTTAGAGTTCTTAGCAAAGTCAAATCTTATATTCCACATGCCCATTTAGAGAAGGCCGTTCATGCTTTTATCACTTCCAGGCTTGATTATTGTAACTCCCTCTGAGCCGGCATTGACCAGGCCCAGCTCAGCCGCTCACAGGGAGAGCAAAACACACACTCCTGTCCTGGGACCACCTCACTCCTGTCCTGGGACCACTGTCCTGGGACCACCTCACTCCTGTCCTGGGACCACCTCACTCCTGTCCTGGGACCACCTCACTCCTGTCCTGGGACCACATCAGTCCTGTTCTGGGACCACCTCACTCCTGTGCTGGGACCCCCTCACTCCTGTCCTGGGACCACTGTCCTGGGACCACTGTCCTGGGACCACATCACTCCTGTCCTGGGACCACCTCACTCCTGTCCTGGGACCACTGTCCTGGGACCACCTCACTCCTGTCCTGGGACCACCTCACTCCTGTCCTGGGACCACCTCACTCCTGTCCTGGGACCACTGTTCTGGGACCACATCACTCCTGTCCTGGGACCACCTCACTCCTGTCCTGGGACCACTGTACTGGGACCACCTCACTCCTGTCCTGGGACCACATCAGTCCTGTCCTGGGACCACATCAGTCCTGTCCTGGGACCACCTCACTCCTGTGCTGGGACCCCCTCACTCCTGTCCTGGGACCACATCACTCCTGTCCTGGGACCACCTCACTCCTGTCCTGGGACCACCTCACTCCTGTCCTGGGACCACATCAGTCCTGTCCTGGGACCACCTCACTTCTGTCCTGGGATCACATCACTCCTGTCCTGGGACCACCTCACTCCTGTCCTGGGACCACCTCACTCCTGTTCTGGGACCACCTCACTCCTGTCCTGGGACCACATCGCTCCTGTCCTGGGACCACCTCACTCCTGTCCTGGGACCACCTCACTCCTGTCCTGGGACCACCTCACTCCTGTCCTGGGAACACCTCACTCCTGTCCTGGGACCACTCCTGTCCTGGGACCACCTCACTCCTGTCCTGGGACCACCTCACTCCTGTCCTGGGACCACCTCACTCCTGTCCTGGGACCACCTCACTCCTGTCCTGGGAACACCTCACTCCTGTCCTGGGACCACTCCTGTCCTGGGACCACCTCACTCCTGTCCTGGGACCACTGTCCTGGGACCACATCACTCCTGTCCTGGGACCCCCTCACTCTTGTCCTGGGACCACATCACGCCTGTCCTGGGACCACATCAGTCCTGTTCTGGGACCACCTCACTCCTGTCCTGGGACCACATCACTCCTGTCCTGGGACCACCTCACTCCTGTCCTGGGACCACCTCACTCCTGTC